ATTGTTTGTCGTTGTTTAAACGTGCTTGTTGCATATCTCTATTTTATATTTGATATGGTCTATTGGTGAAGTAGCCTATAGCATTGATTACTGTGGAGGGAGGGGTGTGGGGATTCAAATAATTCAGCAGAAGCAGGGATGTTTAGACCAGAAGGAAATCCCCGTCCCCCCTGGCAAATCACACTTTACTTAAAACCATGTTTTTAAAAACTCTAGGTTGTAGGGAATCAAAATAATAATAATAATAATAGGCCTAATAAAAAAAATATATATATATATAGGCTATATATATAAAATTACTTTTTTTACAGAACTGCTTTTGAAATTACGATTGGTAGCCTCGTACGATTGGTACAGATGCAACGTCGTTCTGTTGGATACTATTGTTCCTTAGTGTAAAATGGAAATGCATGGTAATTTTATTTTATAAATATAAGCAAAAAACTGTATGGTGTAACAGAGTTTTAGAGCTAGACAAATCTCTCTGCATTAATAAATATAAAATTTACAGTAGACCATGTTTGATCGGGATTTGAACCCGTGTCATCTTGATGATGGAATCGTAAGTTCTACCGCTCGGCTATGAATTTTCTCACTGAGAAATGCCCAAACGTTTGTTTCTCAAATGAGCGAGAAAACGTTTTGTCGTTAGCCTGTGATTGTAGTCCTACTTTAGCCTACATGAATAAAAGTAGACCTTTTACAGTTTTAAAAGATGATATCTTATCTGTATGACCAACAATTACGCAGTAAGTTCTTTTAGCTGTTATGAGAAAAATAAATCCAAATGAACGCGCCGCCGCGTTTGTCAAACTCTAATTCAACATGCCAGAATAAAGCCAGATTTTAGAATAATGCATAGCCACTCGGCGTGGTGTGCCAAAATACCCTAATTATAAACTTCAATATTTCATTCAAAACCATCTCAAAACGCTTTGTGACATTTTAAAAAGCCGTGAATGTATTAAGGCCACTGGAACCAGGATCGTAACTGAAACGCGCTGCATGTCTCAATACAGGAAGCGCTGGTTCAGATTGTTTTGTTTGTTGTTTAAACGTGCATGTTGCATATTTAAAAATATTTGTTTAAAAATAAATGTTTGTTGTAGGCTTATTTGTAAATTACCATAACTTGTAGAATTTCATCCTTACTGTTAATTGACATTAGCCCCACTTACGTTTTGATAAATGTCCCTTTGCGCCACCTGGCGGTCATTTCGCGAGCGACTTTGAAATGCGACTGGTTTATTTTTATTGTATTGGTCTACTTTAAAAAAAAATACTTTATAAGACATTTATGGGAAAAGACTATTTTCTTTTCAAGATGTTTCCAACTGTAACTTTGAACCAATTCTGTAGACTGGCCCATATTCATGGGTTTCAGTCACGTGACTTTTTTGTTGTGGCCGCCATCTTTAGGACCATTGCGTTAAATCGCATAATCTCTCCCTGGTGATCGGAAAGATGTTGCACACTTAAATAGCACAGATGAAAAGCAACGGTATTTAAAAAAAATAGATACTTTAGGTATAGATCCGTATTTACTGTTAAACGAACTGCTGACTCCACTAAAGTCTAGTAAAAACTTGCCAAATTTTACGTTTGCTGACATTTACATCTAACGTTACCTCGTCCACAATCCCTCTCCATGTCCCCACCACTTTTGAAACATCTCGCGGCACGGATGTACCAATACACATAAATAAAAGTAAAATAAGAGGTGATCTAGCACGCTGAAATGTGTTGTTTTTTAAATCAAGTGATCAAAGTGCTTGTTGACTCTGGATCAGTGGTGCAGAAACAGTGTTCTCTCATGACTCGCGCACACCCCACAGTCTTCACACGGACGCGCGCTTTAATGAAATCACAAAATAAAATGCACACATGTGTTCCTGACTGATATACAACCACTGATAAACACAATCGATTTTAATAAGGGTTTTTTAATAAAAAAGGGTACGAGGGCGGATTAGAACCCAGAACCTCTGACACGCTTGGCAAAAGTTCCGCCACTGGACCATCAAAGTACATATGTAAAATAGTCGGATGTTGAATCTCATTAAACAACAAATTAAATTCAATGGACTATTTACATTGATTGCTGGACATCGTAATGTTATTGTACAGGTATATCTGATTTATGATTTAGTGTTGTATTTAATGCCCCCATGAAGAAAATTTTCTTGATAACAGGAAGGGTAAGTGGCACTCTGTTAATCAAGCAATATTAACGTTACACCAGTAATCGCTGAACATAAAAGCATCGCTGAACTGAATTGCTAAGAATGTTGGTAAAGCACATATCTCTTGTATTATCAGTGACGTTTGGACACCTTTATTTTCAATTCTCATTTATTTGTATAGCGCTTTTCACAATCAAAGCAGCTTTTTTAGAAAATGCATGTGTCTACATTACAATTTAGAGTGTCCGAGTTATGCATTTCAGCAATGTATATAAATCATGCAGTTAGCTAATAATCTATTAATTTAAACAATGCATTAGGCAGAAACAGTGAGCTGTAGTTTAGCATACTGAAGCAGGTAACAACAACATAATTCAGCCAAACGTATAACTAAGGTTATAATGCAAATATAGATAGCGGTCTAGAATAAGGTTGTATATAGAGAATAAGTGTTCCAATTGTAAACTACATGTTTTAATTTAGCTAGCTAACCTGTAATTTGCTAATTTTACTTTTATTTAAATTTCCAGGTCAACGTTAATTTCTCAACATATCTTTGTGATTTGCTGTTATCACAGTTTACAGCACAGCAGATAGACGGCATGTTGCAATTCGGTCCTACAAATGGCGGCCGCTCCACTGTGTGACGTCACATGAAATCTATGAATAGCATTTGACCAGGATTTGTTTCCAGGTATGACTAAAAATGTGCTTCTGGCTTTCATTTATATTTTGATTGTTTGTATATATATATATATATATATGTGTGTGTGTATATACAGGGGTGCACATAACTGGTACGCAGGTACGCATGCGCGACATAAATCAGGAATGCGTAATGCCACTTCTGTTACTACGCGCCTTTGCGTAACTGTCGCCAAAATGCAACCTAGGGTCTTTTTGTTAATCTACCCGAGGCAAACTTTCGTTTTAAAGCATAATTAGAATGGAAACGCCACTTTTAAGTTTGACCGTATTTTCGTTTTCGGAGAGCTAGGGGCACGTATATGATAGCAACAAAAATCGCTATTTTTAAAACACTAAGAAGGCTCGACACAACATGAAACTTTGCTCAAAGTATCACCAGGGGACATGAACTCCAGCATTGAGAACATTGTTTGTGTACACAGAGTTTACTAAAAAGAAAGATTTTGAACAACTCACTGTAGCTGTGTCCGCCGGAACAGTAACACCGGCATTTTGTCAGTCAAAAATAGTCGATCTCCGAATGCGAATGAACTGACTCTGAATTTTAGTATTGTTTCTTATGAGGATCCTTTTTCAAATACAAGGTCAATATTGTTTTTCACTTATGACAAAACAACAAATTATCCGTGAATTTTTAATGGAACTAAGCTTTAGGAGCTTTCCATCTTTACTCTCCTCCCTGTTAAGTTGCATTCGGAGATCGACTATTTTTGACTTACAAAATACCGCTGACAGTGAGTTGTTCAAAATCCTCACCATGAAGTCTAATGAACGCGATGGAAACTAAACAATCAAATTACACTTCAAAATAATTATTTCCAAAGATGTTTTCTGTCATTTTAGGTAGTTTTATTCACGCTGATGTAAATTTAAGTGTTCGTTTTTTAAAATAAGTTTGGTCTTTAGTTAGTTATTTGATGCTATAAAACCGGGAATGTGACATCATGATTGACAGCTTCTACACTGAGGAGGACTGCACTTATTAAGACCAGGCTACATATGGGGTGAGTACCAAACACCATCTCCTGGTACTCACCTGAGTAACTCACTGAAAAACTTATGTGCACCCCTGTGTATATATATACAAGAAAGAATGCAATGACAATATATATATATATATATATATATTGTCCTTACATTCTTTCTTGTGTGACACCCCTGAATGAAAGGCTCATTATTATGCAGGGTCACTGTCTGAGAACCACTTAATTATTCATGATAGGGGTTGGGCCGTTCCGCCCATCCGCATATTGCCTTGGCAAACAAAAAAATGTTTTTCACAATTTAAAACAATCTATTGTTTTATGTGAATGATTAGGAAGGATGATTTTCAGATCATTTTGAAGCAAAAACTCTAGGCGACAACGTACATTAGTCAAAAGTCTTGTGGACTCATATTTAGTATGTTTTTTGTGTCCTTATTTAAAAAACTTTATTTTTTAGTTTTTTCAATAACCACGCATAAACAATATTCTCTCAAAAATACAAACATGTACATACATGTTGCTCACACATTATGGTAGTCCTGTTTGTGCTAAATAGAGTGTAATTTCACCTGTGCCATTAATATGTTTATAAGCAACTGAAAAAAGCACAAATGTCAGAGCATGTCAAAACATCTCAAGGACCCCAAAAACACCTTGGTCCCCAGAGGGTTAAAGTCTAGAGTGACCGTGGCATTATTTTCTCCTTATTTCCTCTCTCTAGCCAAGTTCAAGTCAAGTGGTATTGTGTCGTGTCTCGGCTCTCTGCCCAGTTATCCTGTACCTGTAGCATTTCATTTTCTTCTCTCGATTCACACTACTTGCCTGGTTACGGACATATGCCTGCCTGCTGCACTTGCTTTTCCCTCTTGCATTGGCTGCCTTTTCCCATGGACTGACTATTGATTTTGACCTCAGCACCTGGTCCTCAATCTCACCCCTTCACCGGTTCAGAGACCGCCTCATCGGCTTTTGACCTGTTGGACTGCCTTGTTTAATTAAAATTGTAATCAATAAACATTCAGAACTGCCTTTGACTCCTCCAATTGTTTTTTGATATTAGGTTTATGACACAGCCCTAAAATGTAAAGTTGTACTGTTGCACGGTGTATTTTGGCCTGCTTACCCAATGCAGAATTGTACCCATTCCCCTGATTGAGTGAGACAGACTGGTAAGAGATGGACATGTTGCTGGTGAAAGGCCCAAGACATCCACTCATTGGTAGCATTGCAGCAGTGAAGGCTATCTTAGATCCAGCTTGAGGATGGCACAGAAAGCAAAGCAAATTCTGCAAACATTTGCACAATGTTTTATCTCAGATAAGTAAATGTGAGGTGACAATTGTGATGACTACCTGTGACTTCCTCTATTTGGCTGTTCAGGTGAGACAATCCTTCCCATAAGCCAACCAAACGTATGAAGGTGGCCTCCTCCAGCTCAAACAGTGGCTTCGCAACACAACAACAACCCTGCTGTCTCCTGAATGCACATTCACAGTCCCATCCACCACAGGGCAGAGTCCCTGTCCAACTCACTGAATGGAATGGAAATGTAACAAAAGTAAGTAGAAGTGAATCAAAGCCCTGCAAAACCTGTAATTATATGAACCTGAAAATAATTCATGGTCAAATTAATCACCAGCAGTTTCACGCAGGAGGTCAAAGGCAGTGGAAGCCTCTGACCTTGAGCAGAGACAGAGAATCATCAAAATACATGGACCAGCAAGTGTCTTCATCCTCAGAATCCCCAGAATCCAACTGTCCTTTAAAATAAAACTGTTTTACAAATTTAAAAAATAAATAAATACATTATATACATACACACACACACACACACAGTAGAGCTGAAAAATCAGAAAATGTGGGATTTAAATCTAATTTAAACCCTTGAAATGTGAACGAAAACCTTCATCATTTAAAACATATTAAAAAAAATATTTAAAAAAATAAATAAGAAATATTATGCCCCAGGTTTCTACTAGAGTGTTTCCCAACCCAGTTTCTGGAGACACACCTCTAGTACACATTTTGGTTGTGTTCCCTGGCTACCTTTGGAGAGTGCTTACAGTCAACCTGGATCACATGATGACCAATCACATTATCCCTTCGATATCATTGATTTGCTGCCAGAGTTGTACATATTTGAAGTCTCTTTAAAGGTGCTATATGTAACTTTTCTTCTAAAATGAATCCTTTTTTTATTGCCTGTGTGTGAAGGGGTTGTAATCACACATTACAATGATCCACTTGTCCGGTTTTGCTATTACCTCTGAAGGCCAGTATTCCTATTTCTATGTGAATTCACCGGGTCGGATTTTCTGCGAAATCCATCGGATGTGACGTGCTAGCTATGATCAAGATCGGCTTGCGCTGCATTGGTCCAAACTGATAAACGGTCCGCCAACCACACAATAACGAGTAGCTCAGTTTCGTTCCGCTTACATGACATTTTCCATTTGATGTTGGGCAATGTTGTGGTCACGCCAGCGTCTCTTATGGTGTGTTCACAGCCAACGCAAATGTAATTATTTGCGCGAGTGGATTACATACAAAGTCAATGCAAAGACGCGAATAGACGCATCATTCGCGCCGGGCGTTGCGAATGACGCGAATTGGGCGACGCGTTTGCCGCGAATGTCTTCCGCGCAAGTTGAAAAATTTGAACTCGAGCGAATGTTCAAGCGTCTAACTAGACGCGATAGACGCGTATTTGACGCTCTATTCGCGTTCGGTGTGAACACACCATTACATTATGAACGCGCTTGCCACGCGAGACGCGCCTAGACCGCCTACATTTGAAATAACGACATTTTGGTAGGCAGGAAAAATGGTCCAACGAACCGTTCGGTTTAAAAGTGCGTACCGAAAACGAACCGAAAGCCTCGTACCGAACGGTTCAATACGAATACGTGTATCTTTACACCCCTAATATTTAGTATGTGTTTTGTGGCCTTATTTCAGAAACATACATTTTTTGTTTTTTCAATAACCTTGCATAAACATTATTCTCTCAAAAATACAAACATGTACATACATGTTGCTCACATTTTATGGTAGCCATGTTTGTGCTAAATAGAGTGTACTTACACCTTTGCCATTAATATGTTTATAAGCAACTGAAAAAAGCACAAATGTCAGGGCATGTCCAAACATCTCAAGGACCCCAAAAACACCTCAGACCCCAGAGGGTTAAAGTCGATGTTGAGAAAGTAATGTCTAAGTTCTGGTAAAGAAAGGGACGAGGGGGTACCATTAGTATTGTTTGCAGTTTGTGAAGCGACTCAAGAATCTCAGGTATTTAGTCCTGCAGACTTAGTATTTGGTCACACCGTATGAGATCCGCTGAAGGTACTGAAAGAAGGGATGTTGAATGGCAAAATGTCATCTGAACAAAATGTGCTGCATTATGTTAGTCGGTTTCAAGAACGACTGCATAATGCATGTTCATTTGCATGAAAATCGTTGTCAATTGCTCGGGAGGGCATGAAAAAATGGTATAAGAAAGCTGTTGTGTGTGAAATTCAACGTGGCAACCTGGTCCGTACAAGGTATCAAAAAGATTGAGTGAGACTCGTTTGCGATCAGGCGTGTGTATCACAAAGTCAAAGTTGCGAACTTGTCACATTAACATGTTGAAAACATATTGTTCTCGTAAATCATCTGAGAAATTTGCAGATGAAAAAGAAAAAGCCGGAGCGGTACCTACTGAGGTTTTAGCTGCAGTTTCCGTTGCGGTGTCTGACTCTACTGCAGTGAATGGTGAGGTGTTGCTGCCATCTCCTGGTGAGTGTTATACTGATGATGGTGTAACACTTCGTAATGATGTGTCAATGTGTGGTAGACTTTCAAATTCAGAAATTAAAAAAAAAAACTTGCCTGAAACCATTGATAATTTGCTTGAGTCACAGAAACAGGATGTTATGAAACTAATTCAAGAATTTCCCATGCTGTTTAGTGATGTGCCGACTCAAACACATGTATTACAGCATGATATCCAAGTGCGTGTAATTCTTCCATTAAGCAACAAGCTTACCAAGTGAATAGTTTTAAAAGTTCTGTGATGAAGATTGAGGTTGATTTATTTGGTGAAGATTAACCTAGCTGAATCTAGTTATAGTCTGTGGAGTTCTCCTTGTCTTCTTGTTTCAAAGTCTGACGGTACATTCTGGTTTTGCACAGATTACCGAAAAGTAAATTCTGTGACTGTACCAGATAGCTATATCCTCTTCCTAGGATGGAAGACTGCATCGATAACTTGGGTTCTACTAAGTTTGTGATGAAATTAGATTTGCTGAAAGGGGATTGGCAAGTGCCATTCACCGCTCGAGCTGTGGAAATTTCAACTTTCGTTACTCCAGATAACTTTCTACAGTACCGAGTTATGGAGTTCGGGTTGCGAAACTCACCGGGAACTTTTCAGTGCCTTGTAAACATTGTACTGTTAGTTCAAAATTGGCATACCTCGATGATCTAGTGATTTATTCTTCTGATTGGTTTGAACATTTGAGTGTTGTTCGGACAGTTTTTGAAAGATTAGCTGACGCTTCACTGCCAATTAATTTGGCCAAGTGTGAATTCGGTAAAGCAACAATCACCTATTTGGGCAAAGAAGTAGGTCTAGGTCAAGTCCGTCCTGTTAGTGCCAAAGTATCTGCCATTGCTGACTTTCCTATTCCAACGACAAGATGAGAGTTACGTCAGTTTTTAGGTATGGCTGGTTACTACAGAAGTTTCTGGCGAAATTTCTCTACTGTAGTACATCCTTTGACCAGTTTGTTAAACCCAGCGAATGCTTTTGTTTGGACTGATGCATGTCAGCATGCTTTTGATAGCGCAAAGCTGCAGAGCGCAAAGCTTCTTGCTGCTGCAGATTTCACATGTTCTTTTGAATTGGAAGTGGACATTAGTGCTTTAGGCATGGGAGCTGTTCTCATTCAAGAAGATGATGTTGGTTTTGAGCATTCCATTTGTTACTTTTCTCGAAAATTCAATCGACATCAGCGAAATTATTCCACCATCGAGAAGGAAGCTTTGGGTCTAATTCTGGCTTTACAATTCTTTGAGGTTTATGTGGGTTCATCCGTTCTGCCTGTTACCGTGTACACTGTACATTCTGGACAAGTGATCAATCACAATCAATGTCTGATGCATTGGTCGCTGATTGTGCAAAATTATAACTTAATCATAAAGCCTAAAAAGGGTTCAGAAAATATCATTGCTGACACCCTATCTAGAGCTTAAACACTGCTTCAGGTTAAGTTTTAAGGGGGTGAGTGTTACGTACGTCATGCTACGTAATTTTGTTTCTTCCATGTTGCTGCATATGTATGTGTGTCTGTGTACTTTGTCTGTTTCAGGTGTGAAACTCGATTGGAGGCTCCGCCTGTCAATCTGCTGACGTCTGGAATCGCGCCACCAATCTCCTGTCGCCGTGCAGTTTATGAATGGCTCTAACTTTAATGGCGACAGTCGAGATAGACTCTGGGTTGGGAAAGAGTATGCACAGTATGAGGACTGTTTTCTCTTTTGAGATATCAGTCTGAGAGACTGATTATTGTCTGGGGGTTCACTGCTTTTATGATCTAGCATTTGGATCAGCTCTCGTTTGTTTGTGCCTGTGCTTGTTTGTGTTTGGGCCCTTGATACATGCTGGATGTGCAATGCGAAATGTTTGTTACCGTTGCCCTCATGTCATTCATCTCAGTCACCGTCCGACACTGTGTAGACTGGCGGGAGAGGTTGCGAGTCAGGTAAGCAGGTCGCGACCTACATTTGCACACGCAGTTTCTATGAAATATATTAGACGCACTTGCGTTAGGAGTGGTGCTAATTCAGTTCCTTAACTTTAGTTAGAGGGTTTTCTTGTTTTATTCCGTTTTTGATTTAAGCACCACTCTCTTGCTCCTTCCTCTCCACCAGATTGTTTATTGATTTTGCTCGTCCTTGTTATGTTGTGCATTTTGTAAATATTAATTACTGCATTACTTTACCTTATTTCTACTTCACTTTATTGCAGTTGAAGAATTAAATCTTTCAACTAAGTTGTTGGTTTGTTGGCCGTTCTTATTCTTTTGCAATTCCCGTTACTGTCTTGACACACACATGCAAACCTTTTGTTATGTCTAATAATATTCCTAGACAAATAACATCTAATTAACGAGGGACGTAACAATTAGTATACTTTTTCTCACTCAATCCCCATGTATGCAGATGAGTGTGACGTTTAAGTCATTTTATTAAACCAGGGGAAAATACGCCATATCTCATCTCTCATGCATCTTTTCCTCTGACACCACATTGTTTTTCTCTCTGGGCAACAACATCTCAACTTTGCGTTACAAGGTCATCAGTAAATGAGTATGACATGTAGAGAACTGAGTTTAGAGTTTTACAAAACGTCAATTGCAAACTGAGTGTAAAGCCGTGTAATTTGCTTGTAGTTTTGGAGACTTGGTCTGAAGATTCGGTACATGAGTGAATGGTTTCACTGAGTGAGCCTCAAGTTCCACTTTTAGTGAGTAAGCAATTTGAAAAAACTGTAAAGCTAATAGGGGAAATGGAGATTTTTTCAAATTAGTATTTCATAAATTCTTATTCTGACAGTATCATTTGTATTAAATTAAAAATACAATATAGAAGTATTATCACCAAAAGCACTCATATTATTTTCAGTTTATAAATTTTAATTAATTATATAATAAACGTGTGAGCCCTAATATACAGTATAAACATATAAGCCAGTGTAGAAATTAAGTAACAGGGAGATGCCTTTTTGGCCTGAGGAATCAATGGAATCAAATAGACAGAAGCTAAAATACGACATTTAAAAAATACAGTGCCAGCTAAGAATAAACATGACAACCAAAAGCAGGATAAACACCCAAACATAAACCAGACGTTTGTGAATTATTGATATAAAACTACTACTAATGTGTCTAAAGGTAGTAACTAGTTACTAATATATCTAACTAGGTCGCCTACTATGTTTATCAAAAGTTGTATGTAAAAAAAATACATACAAATGAGAATTCTGCTTACTTATGTTTTTAAATATAATTTATTTTAATACTTACTGCTATGAAGAAACAGATGAGGTGCAGAAGAACGGAGTCAGTCACAGACCAGAATTGTAAGTGGACCGTTCTTTGCAGCTTTATGCAGTGGGTGGAGTTGCTCTGAGTTCCTCACCCTCTGAAGCATCTGATAAGACTGAAAAAGTAAAGAAAGAATATGAGACACCACAATGCCTTTCATTTGTTCCACTTGAACATAAATACATGAAAAAGATATTTTGTAACTGATACCGACATTATATTTCTTTCCAGGATACTCTGGTCTCTTTCAACTCCTCATGGACTACAGATAATATCATTCCAGCTGCTGTGTGATTGTTCACCAGTCATTTTAGCGACAAATGAAGAATGTGGCAAAATCTGAAGTCCAAATCTAGAGGTTGGTGCAGGATTTGGTTTCCTGATTCTCAGAACAGGGTGTAGACTAGAGAAAGATGTGAATCTAATATCATTGTTTACAGTGTTGTCTCATATGTGCCTGTATTTTAATATTATCCCAAATCTTGAACACGAATTTACTGTGATTGTTATTTAAGATTAAAGTGATATATTGGCAAATAATCACTTATTTTAAAGCGTGGGAGGGCCATTGAAGTGTAAAATGAAACTCGTGTTTGTGTGTCTGCCACAAAGAAAAAATTTCCTGAAGATCTAAAAGGCTAAAAGCAATTCTTCCATGTGACTAACAAAAAGCTGCAGCCATGTCTCTAGCAAACTGCCAGGCACACAAACATGAAATGTCCCAGGCCTGGACCTCTCTCACCTTCCACTCTAGTCACTCGTCCCTTTATCCTTCCATCCTTCCGGAGATCCTCCATGGACTTGAGACAGGTGTGTCGCTTGGGTGTCTCTCATTAGGCTTCATTCCACAGGGCTTGCTCTGTTCCCACGGATCACATCTTGGATAAGTGTCCTACATTGTAGTTTTACAAATAATGCAATCAATACAGACAATGATGTGCAAATGCAGATGTTTTGCTTGTACAAAGCATATACAGTAAAGGTGAAGTGTCCGAGTTTTGTCAACAAAACAAAAAACAAATGGTATCTGTCTCAATCACTTGCAGGGCCAAGATAGTGACCCTTACGAAAAAGAAGTTTATCCAAGTGTGCTATTAGTATACTTCTTTTAAACTAAAAATAAAAAAAGTATATTTTCAGTCTACGTTTTATGTACTTCTCAGAAACATACTTAAAATTGCAGTTTAGTATACTTGACATATACTGACAGAAAAGTATATTTTGCCTTATACTTGTATCTATCTTTTGATTGAGGTGACCTTAAAAGTATAATACAGTATTCTAAGTATATACTTGGCTTGTAGTTGTGTTTAGTCTTTTGATTGAGTAACCTATTAATGACTTTTTTCACATAGTTTTACATACTGTCTGATAAACTTACAAAAAAAATTGCTTACACAAATGTAAAATAATGCGACCATCAAACATTAAACTGCATATAAGATCAGGTCTCGAGGGAACTGCCTGTGTAAATTGTGAGCGTTTTATCTTTGAGAACGCTCCGCTCTCGTCTGGCCCTCTTCTCGAGAGTGACGTGATGGGCCAGGATCACAGCGGTGACGTGCGTTATGAGGTTCCCAGATGGAGCCCTCCGATCGCCTTGAGAGGGGTGTAATCCTGCAGGATGAGCTGCAGGTGGATGAAAGCTTTTCTAAAGAAAAGAAAACTTATGGTAGCGAGTGCTCTTCCGGACGAACAGGAGATGGCTGGTGAGGGTGGTGATAATCGGATAGATCCTGATTCTTCTCAGCCACCCTGCCTCGTGTATGCTGAGCTGGTTGGTGTTATGGAATGCGCAGCGGGCAGGCTGCAGCTGCCGTGGCTACACGTTGGGGAAGAAATCGCTCGCAATGAGAGCAGTTTCTCCCCAGTCATAAAACCACCAGCTCAGGTGAGCATTCCATTTCTTCCCGATATCATACTGAGATCGAGAGGACATGAAAGAAACCATATTCTGCCCCTATCCACCGACATCAGCGGGCTAGTCTCACTGATGTTGATGGGATAGGAGAGCGTGTGTATATGTCTATGGGGCGGACATCGACACTGAGAGCTCCAACCCTGCCAGTTTGAATGTCAGCGTCAGCGGGTCAGGCACACCATGGCATATACCAGCACACCATGGCAGGGTTGCAGGTATACCAGGCCAATCTGCTGGGGGATCTCGACCAGGGGGTGGGGCCCCTGAGGTGGTTACTGAGCTGTGCCGCAATTGAAAAAAAAGTAGCTCTCCGGGCCACCAAACAGACTGCTGCCGCAATCGGCCGATCGATGGCTGCGATAGTGGCCACGGAGAGACCTTGGCCGACATTGGGGTGAAAGAAAGGCTTTCTCCTCGATTCGCCGGTTTTCGCCCTCTGAGCTTTTCAGCACCTCTGTGGAAACGGTGGTTGGAAAGTTTAGAGAGGCGAAGGCGCTCTCAGCTGCACTTAGGACCATCTATACCGCTGAGATCTGTATCCACGCCCAGACAGACTTGAGGCCCTGGCCCATCACGGTCCGAGGACCATATACAGGGCCAGAGAGCCAGTTTAGCCTCTCGTGCGCCTCCTCCGTGGAGGAGTAGGTCGCAGAAGAGGAGCAGGTCGCAGAAGAGGAGCGACTCCTGCAAGAGGGATCTGAGGGAGGTGATCAAGCACAAACGCACACAGTGTCGGTCATGGATCACCTCTCCTGAACAATGCTCTGATGGCCCACCTCGGCTTGGTTAGTGAGAGTGCCTCTTTCAGGGATGTAAAGGTGGTAGACCCCATGTTCATAAAGAACTGTTGGGTGAGTCTTCACTTCGCATGCCGCAGGTGAGCTGTGTTGGTCTTCTTAAAGAGGAATTTTTTTGTGCAACTAACACTAAAATGTATCTCTCTTCAAACCTCATTCCCTGTATAGAGCTAGGGGGTCATGTCAACGTCAATATCATAAGATAAGTTAACATTTTTTGGATTATTAGGGCCCTGAAGTTCCCCTGTTAGGTGGCTAGAACAATAGAGAGAAGCACCAGTTGTATGGGCTTCTTTTGTGAGTATGTGATGGCTTTCCTTGTTGTCATATGTAAAAAGAGCGAGGTGTGCCACCACTCATTCTAGTTGTAAAACTATGTTATAGCTTAGGCTTCCTCTCATGGTGAGAGCATTTGAGGCCGCCGCTCAATCATACAGTATGAAATATGTTATCAGCAGAGAGTTAAGTGGCAGAATGTCATTCTAGAAATAAGAATGGGAATGTTTATGCTACCGCTTGTTTTTTCTACACACATCTGTGTTAGCCCTTGGGCTATTAGCCAGCTCAGGGTAGAGTAGTTGGTCTCTCTCTCTCTCTCTCTCTCTCTCTCTCTCTCTCTCTCTCTCTCTCTCTCTCTCTCTCTCTCTCTCTCTCTCTCTCTCTCTCAAAAAAAGCTTCAGATAGATCTTATGTCCGGCCCACGGGACCGTCTGACATTTTTGTCCTGAGTACATCGCCCCCTTGAGCTCTGTTTAGGTTTTCAGTACGCTGAGCGGATCTGCAGTCCCTCGTATGAAAATAATAATAGTTTTTCTCGTAAGGCTGTGGCTCCTCTGAGCCCTCAGGTAGATCTATGCTTACAGGCTGGCTCTCACCAGGGCCGCCTCTGTAGCTGGCCTAGGCTATGCTAGGGATAGTGGAGGCGTTCTGTTAAAGCATTTCTGCCTCTGGCCCTTCACTTTGTGAAAGTAGATTTTTTAGCATCCCTATATGATAGCCTCCTCCCATGGAGTCGTTAGGCCAAGGCCCGCCCCCTTTCTGCATTCTGGGGCAAGAAGAGTAATGCAGGTTGGTGTAGAGGTTGACCGATAAAGACTTAGGCCTTCAATAAAGCCTCCCCAGTGCAATGGGTCTTTTTGGGCAGGGTCAGGCCGTCTTTCGCTTTGCGAAGAGATTGTTTTTGGTTTGTCCGACCCCGCCGTGCAGAGCTGGCATATGGATTTGGCCGCCAGAGTAGGCTCCATTTAGCTCGCTGAGCCTCCGCTCAAGCGATGAGTTTAAGGAGGTTGACTTACAAGCAAGCCCCACTCTCCTAGGCTGAGCGCAGAAACATTTCTGTCACCTCTAGAGCCACTGGCAGGCCCGCACCCTGTTGAACTATAATTGACGGCATGTGCCAACGCGCGAGGCGTTTTCCAGCCTGACGGCATAAAGAGAGCGGCACGTGCAAGAGTGTGGGCGTGGGAGAGAGCGGGTCTTAAGTTGGATCTCGGTTATGTAAATTCTTCTGTTAAATAATAAATCTTTACACGTTTGTTTACCGAACTCTCTCCTGCTCTTTTGTTACTATTTGAGAGAGTAGTAACAGTGGGGGCTCGTCAAAACCTTATTTTACCTACAATTTAAAAGGCGTCTATTGCTCTTAGAGTAGGTCGACGGGACGCTCGCGTTTAGACATCTTAACTAAGCGTCTTTCCGAATTCGCCGTTTTATTGGCGATTGTAAGTCAGGACAATGGGATCTTTTATGGTGTCGGACATGAAGGGTAAGTTCAGCGATATACATTTAATCAATTAGCCATGATCTTTCCTTTTTGTGCTTACATTGTAGGTTGCGTGTTTTCTGGGACGTGTGTCTTTTTTGTTTTTGAACAGGTCTGTGGCTAGAGCATTAGTCTCGGGGGCACTACCGAGGTATTGGAGAAATCGCCAGGTTACTGGTTGTTTAACCATTCCTGCGGCCTTTGTGTTTAATTCATCCCACCGCAGTACTGTTTGAAGATCCGCGTCTAGTTAAATTGTATGAGATATTTTGATATGCTCAAGGGGAAGGGTTATTTGTTTTTTTGAGATGTCGCTGGCCTTCCCGGTTCGTGTTTAATTCGTTTCAGACCATACAGACTGTAATATGGTATGTTTATTTGAGTTCATCATAATAATAAACATCTTAATTGTACGAGGAATTCTAATGCTAATTGCTACTCATTATAATATAGAGCTTACGAGTAAGCGATATTAAAAAAAGAGATAAAAAGTATAGTGAGTGCAGCCTTGTGCGCCGAGGGTTTATTGGTAAAGTCTGGTAGTGGATCTGAAGATGATGACACAAAAATTTCTCCGAGTTCAAGTCATGTTGAAAACTTAACCTTTGCTGAACAAAAATAATTGTTACT